CCATCAAGACTTATGCGAGACCATGAGAAAGGGATTAATCGAGAAGCTTTCCTCCGAGAAAACGTCGCCACAATGATCGACATTCACTCAGATCTCCGAAACTCAATTTTGAAGTCCACTTTCAAAAACAAGGTCAATGTGGTTAGAGCTTTCAAAGACCAAACTGTTTTCTTTAGAGCTTTTATGTGAGCCAATACATAATTGACAAACGGTACGGTCAACAAAACTGTAACAGTAAACAACAACAATAAAACAAACTCGATTCATTTTAGTTTTACCGGGTCATTTTATAAGCAGCTTAAAGCAGTATCTGGCATTAAGTGTTTGTATAACAGAATCCTAAATGGAAAATATTAGTATCGAGGGAAATCCCTGTCTACTTCGTTTGCCCAGGCTTCATAACCGCCACGGATATCACGAATCCGGAAAGATGGAAGTTTTTTCTTCAGAATTTCCACAGCCAGTTGAGAGTCGTTTCCACGGTGACATATTACGAACACTGAAAGCTGTCTGTTATTCATTGTAGTCCCAAAGACCACAAGGAAATCAAACGAAAGTCTTAACAAGCTAACAGAATCCTGAACAGATGAAAATCGTACACGCTTGCACTTATATATTTGGAAGAGAAGTTTAAAAAAGAGCTATCAATGTTTTTCAAAATGCGGCTGACCTTCTTGAGGATGATCGCCAGCATTAGCCATTCCTAATCGCTCACAAATTGATACGGGGTCGAGTAATCGGACTTCATCTAGGGTTATATCTAAAAGCAGAATTTGAATTATCAAAAAAAAATTAAAAAGGAAACAACTTTCAACCCTAGGACCTACTTTTCGCTTCTTCGAAACTAGCAATGGCAAATTCATGTGGAGGACGAGTATCGAGGAGTACTGGATGGCTGGAGGACCGAATATTGGAGTAATCCGTCACACTAACTCGATCATTTGGTGACAGAACAGAAAGATTTTGCACCTGAAAGAAATGTATAGGAACGGGAGTTTGATCCAATTGGGAAACTCAGTTCAGATCTCAAGGAAATCGTTCAAACACTGCTTGGAATATCATTTACCCTTCATAATAGAAACTTACATAGAACTTCCTTATACACGTTCGTAAGACTGCAAACAGATGAATATAAATCTAACCTTATCGCAGGCTCCTGAACCACAGAATGCCTGATAATCTATCAATTCAGTAATAGTCGGATTATCACCACAGACATCGCACTGTTTATTTCGGTGGCGTAGTTGTACCGTTCGAGAGCTCCCACAGCTTCCATCAAACAAGTACAGGCTTCCAGCAAAGTTTGCTAAAGATTATACGAAGCTCGCTTGGATGAGCTTTAAAGAAGACTCTCAAATTACATTCAAAGAAAGAAAACTTTTGAATACGAAATATCAGTTGGGGCTCCATTTAGTTGTGATAGTTTGTCTGCACTCACGTCTCAATCCTGCAGCAATTTTCAGAACTTC